AAAAAAAAAAAGAAAAAGAATCAAGTTCAAAACTAGAGTAATTTTTATAAGAATTTTAATACAGAATAATCCAGATATTAAATTAACTGATACAAACTACAATAATATAACAAATCATTTTTGTTTCAATAACATAAAATTAAAATGAATTTAAGAGTTATCAGTAGACACTGACTTTATGGCTTGAAAGCACATTCTTGGTAACAGAATTGATTTTCATTACAAAGGGACTCATGCTCTCTAAATTCCGAAGTAAACAGAAACAATTATGTATCAGGTGATACTACTGTGACAGTGAACTTACCTAGTGATATTTAATTTTCCCCGAATGCAGAATACTCCAGCAGCATCTGAGTCTAAACGGAATACTTCAAATTCTAGCTCATCTCCCACATTAATCTCCAGGGAATGCCACTGGTCGGCTGGCATCTGCTCAGGTTTAGGGATAGAGGCATTGAAACAGCCATGGACTAAGCAGCCAATGTGGCTGGAAGACACTTTATTAACTGTGCCCTATGAAGAAAAAGAAAATGAAACTCAGAGTTAAAAGGAAAGACAGCCTTTACAACTGCAAAATTACCATCAAAGAGAAAATAACAAATTAGAAGTATAAACAATATGGAAATTGTTTAACTCAAATAAATCTTACCATATGCCATGGCAAAACACTGATTTAGAGAACTGTAAAACTATCACCCCACCCCCACCCCCCAAAAGTCTCCAACATCTTGGCCTCCTTTGCAAGATTCTTGGGGAAGCAGATTACTCTAAAACTGCAAATAGTTTCAGCAAAAAAATTTTCCTTCTCCAGGCAGAAAGCAAACACATGATTTTAAAACTAGGATACAGGTAACAATTCTATAAGCAGATTGTATTTCAACGCTGAAAAGTATTTCTTAATGATTTAATATGATGTGATGCAAGCAGTCCCATTAGACAATTTGTTGTTGTTGTTAAGTATCTTAGAGTCTGTCCCGACTCATAACGACCCTGTATAAGGTTTGCAAGGCTTCTAAAATCTTTGCAGGAGCCGAAAGCCTCATCTTTCACTGACAGATTGGCTGCAGGCCTTGAACCGTGGTTCACAGTCCAGTGCTTATCATATGGAGTCACCGTGCTCTCCATATGTATACACATACACACACACATATATATAGTTGTTACTGTTATGTGCCATGGTGTCGGTTTTGACTCACAGCAACCCTCTATACAGGGTTTCCGAGGCTGTAAATCTTTACGGGAGCAGAAAGCCTCATCCTTCTCCCGCAGAACAGCTGGTAATTTCGAACTGTTGACCGTGAGATTAGCAGCCCGATTCGTAACCACTCTCCCTCTCTCTCTCTCTATATATATGTGTGTGTGTGTGTATGTATGAATGTATATATATGTATGTACTTGTTATTTTTAGGTGCCATCGAGTTGGTTCTGGCTCACAGTGACCCTGTATAGGGTTTCCTAGGAGTAGCTGGTATGTTTAAACCATTTGCCTTGAGGTGGAGTGCTTATTCTAAGACACCACACTAGGTTTCCATATACATATGTTGTTGTTGTTAAGTGCCGTGGAGTCGGTTCCCACCCATAGCGACCCTGTATAGGGTTTCCAAGGCTATAAATCTTTACGGGAGCAGAACGCCTCATCTTTCTCCCGCGGAACAGCTGGTAGTTTCGAACTGCTGGCCTTAAGGTTCGCAGCCTGATTCCTAAGCACTACGCTACCAGAGCTCCATATACATATACTCTTCTTTAAAGACCAGTAGAGAAGACACTGCACATTTTATTCATTTGTAGGAACACAAGTAGTAGCTGGGAACTCTCTGCCTTCCCCTTCCTTTAGCCTTTGAAACGCCAGATTTATTCTACTATTCTCCAACATAGGATTCTGACTAGGTTATCACCCAGACCTCTAAGACAACAGCCAGAAAAGACTGGAAAATCATTCCCAAAGCAATCATTTCCTCAGCAATCTGTCATCTACACATTTTGTTAGACGATATCATACCCTTTATATTTAAACCCTAAGCATGGCATTTTGGAGGTTCAAATTCACCAGCTGCTCCAGGGGAGAAAGGTGTGGGAGTCTGTTTTCATGAAGATCCACAGCTGTGGAAACCCTAGGTGGTAGTTCTATTTTGTCCTTAAACAGTTACTGTGAGTCAGAATTGACTCAGTGGCAGCGGGCTTTATGAATGAAAACATGAAGTGTTATTTTAATCACATTTCTGAATTCTAGAACTATAAATAACACTGACATGTATGCAGTACTATGTAACTTCAGCAGCCCTTCATACATGTTATAAAACTTCTCTCATTCATTATCAGGAGTTTGGTGTTCCCCATGGAAGTTCCTGGAGAATCCTAAAGTAAATCTGAAGACGCTGCCATGTGGTCTTCCAACCTCTGAATGCAGCAAAGATAGCACAACTGTGACCTAGCACTCAAGTGAGGACTAACATGCCACATGTAATGCGATCAGTTCTCATATGGGAAACTGTATCCTCACTCCTAACCTCTTAGTAATAGCCCTCCCTATACTGACGTGAGTTAAAGTCTTCTGGAAGCTGTAGATTCTTAATCCTAAAAGCTAAAATCCCTAAATTTCACTGATGGGAAGAAAGCTGTATATGTCAAGTATAAGAAAGGAAAAATAGCTACTGCAGTGTGCCAGCCATGAAAATGCCCAAGGCCCCTGCCGTTGGGAGACAGGCATCTGCTCCTTGGGATCCACCGGTCTCACACCTAAGCCATGATTCCCAGGGCCTGCTCTCAGCCAATGACTGAGCCCAGAAGGGATACTAATCCAGGCCCATTCCTTCCTATGAGACAGGGAACTGACTTGGCAGGCAAGTGTGACTTGAGGACTCCCTACTGGCCTGGTCAGGACTTTCTTAGAACTGTGCTGCGATATGACACTCTCCCCATCCACTCCTCTTCCTTCCCTGTCAGTCCCACTCCCTCTCCTTTATTTCACACAGGTGTTTCCCCAATAAATCTCCTACATGTCTAATTCTAACTTGGTCTCTGCTTCTTATAAAAGTATCAGGGTAAAGAACTAACTTCCAAGTAACAGGAACTCAGAAATTGCTCCAAGGTTTGACTTGAATCTCCTAATATCAAGGTTTGTGGTTGTTGTGAAGTGCTGTCAAGTACAGAATCATTAATTCTGTCCTTGCTCTCCACAAATTTCAGAAGTTCTCTACAACATGCATGTGTGTGTTTACTTAAAACAGAAGTGTTCAGTATGGATTTGAATAAAGAGAAGTGTCCATATTAAGAAAGTATGGTTAGATACTCCATATGATATCTGGATTACGATGATTAGAGTGGCAGGCACCACCGGAATGCACAAATAACATTTACAAAGGCAGGTTTCCTGCCCTTGAGGATTTCACGTAAGAGGGAATGATATTAACATAAAAACCAAGAAATACATCAATACATCATTCCAAATCATGATACAAATGCTGTGAAGAAAAATGGAATAGGTATCAGCTGGTCATGAAGACCTCTCTGAACTTCAAAGAGATAACACTGAAGCTTCAACCTGAAGGACAAGAGGTGGAGAGTGTTTCATGCAGAGAAGAATAACATGTGCAAAAGCTCTATGGGGGAAAATCATTGAACTCCTTTGAGAAAGAAGGCCAAGATGGCCACAGCACATTAGTAGTCTTAAGGGAGCAGGTTAGTGAGACACATGCAAGACTCTCAGATAGTGCTGGAAAAGATTAAGAAGTTTTAAGATTTTACTTAAATACAATGGTAAGCCATTAACAGGTTTTATGCAAACTGGTTACATTATAAAGTAACCTCTTTGAGAGCTTGTTTTTTTCTAAAAATCTCTTTGAAATAACAGTAAGACATTAGAAGAGGGAATAAATTCATATAAATAAATAAATTCAAATAAAATCTCTGAGAATTGGAGGGGAAGGAATGACACATATGGTGCAATTAATTATTTAAAGTCTCTCCTAGCCACGTTGTTAAGTGGCCTAGAGTTTTCGAGGAGCAGCTGGTGGGTTTCAACTGCCAACCTTGTGGTTAGCAGCCCAGTGTTTTTCCTACAGCACCACATCAGAGCTCCCTTCTAGCTACAATTTGTGTAAACTCCTTCCAAACAACTTTTCCTGATGAGTCTAGGGGAAGATGCTGATGGATTAGGAATCAGTTGTGAGTGACTGTTAACAGGGCTCATTGTGATTGGTCAATTTTGCCATCCTAATGAGCATAAAATGAGTCATCTTGGAAGCGGAGGAAGAAGGGGTCTTTCTACCATCCAAAGAGTCAGGAGTGGACCCCAACATCACAGTGTACTGAACTTCCTCAACACAGGGACAGAAAGTTGTGGCTGTAAAAGTAGCAGAGGAACAGCTGCAGCAGAACCAAGACCCACAGAATGAGACACAGTGATAGGCTTCCCAGCCCAGAGAGCAAGTACAGCTGAGTGACTCTGGGCACTTGTCGAGTGGACTGTCTCCAGGCATTTAGGGGAATAGGTTTGCTGACCCATGGAGCTAGTCAGTGACTTCAAGGTAAAGCTTTTGGTGGTGTGGTGTGCCCAGTGAGCACCTATCAGTCCTAAAAGAGCTCTGTCACACTTCCAGAGCAAGGCAGGGGTCAGACCAACGGGTGGAGGGTCAGAGACAATACTGCCCATGGGTAGAGCAGAGGAGAGGTTGTTCTGACTGAAAGAACTGAGTCCTGAACATTTCTGACTCAGAAGTCTGCAGTAAAGTAGGCAGCAGGTAATCCTCATCTGGAAACAGTTTCTTCACATGGCTTCCTGGACATTCACTGTCTTCCGGTCTCCTGGATGCTCAGTCTTAATATAGCTCCCCAACTTCTTCATGCTGGACTGCTCGAAGCTCCTCTTGTTAACTACACTTAACTGGAGGGCTTCAAAAAGTTTGTGGAAAATTCCACTTTTAGTTTTATTTTTCATAACCTTTTTGAATCCCCTCATATTGTGCACACATCATCTACACATGAAGACGAATAAGTGTGTGTGAGTGTGTGTATACAGATATTGTTGGTAAGTGCCTTCAAGTCTGTTTCAACTTACAATGATCCCATATAGGGTTTCCAAGGAGTGGCTGGTGAGCCTGAACTGCCCACCTTGCAGTTCAAGTAGACTTTGCAGTCCAGCGCATTAACCTACAGCACCACACCAGGACCCTATGTATGTATATTCAGTCTGGAGTCTCTGAATTTCAAATGAACTATAGCCAACGGCCTTCTCAACACATCCACTTAAATGTCTACAAGGTATTTTAAACACAAAGCCAGCATTAACTTCTGTTTTATTCCTTTCCTCAAACTCCTCATCCCAGTGAACTCCAGACTTCAAGTTGCTGAACACCAAAAACTTTGGAGTCAATCTTAAGTCTTTCTGTCATATTGTACATTTAATCCATCAACAGATCCTACTGGCTCTATTTTTTAAATAATTCATCAGAAGCCTTGTACTCCTAGCACCTCAGAGTAGCCATCCTAGTCCAATCCACTGTTACCTCTCCTGCTAATTAGGCAACAGTCTCTTGTCTTCCTGGGTATATCTTCCCCCAGCCACAAAACTCCAGTCTCTATACAGCTACGCCATACTTCAGCTACATCACGTTCTTCTGTGTAAAACTCTTTCATGGCTTCCCTCCTTTCTCAGAGTATAAACTCACCATGCCCTATAAGGTAGAATGTGCAGATTCGCTAATAACTCTCTTCTACTCACCACTGCCCTGGTGGCAATGTGGAGTAAGCATTGTGCTGCTCACTGCAAGGTAAGCAGTTCAAACCCACCAGCCTCTCCACAGGAAAAAAGATGAGGCTGTTTCCTCTCTTGCAAAGATTTACAGACTCAGAAACCATGTACAGGTTCACTACGAGTCAGAACTGGTTTGATGGCAAGTGGTTTTCTACCAAACACTAGATGTTAGAATGTTAGATGATCTTTCCAGACTCACAATCCTGGAATACAGCCTGTGTCAACATAAGCACCTGAACACTAGGAGTTTGGAGGGTAGAAATAAGAGGTGGCAGCCATGACAGCAGTCTGCATCTGAGGCCCTGTGGATGTTATCTATGGACACTAAGCATATCTCTCTATTCTACTATAACAGAATTATTCTCTAATTCCCGGTGCTACATTCCCGTGTATTTAAAAAACAGAGGATTACTTCATGTTATCTGAAATTCAAACTGTTAATGCTCAAACGACTAAAGATCTGCTGCCCGCCAATGTTCCCAACCTCTCTCACAAGTCTTGCTCTCACCTTCTCTACTGTAGCCATCTTGGCCACATTGCAATTCTTTAAAAAGCATGTATACTCCCATCTCAGGTTTTTTCAGTCCTGTTCTTACTCTAGAGATTGGGGTGGGAAAGGTCCAGCCCATGGATCATATGAGGCCCGTGAAATCCTTTGGTCTGGCCCTGCCAAGACAACAACAGTTCCAGCCATCATTTTAGGGGTGAGTACAATTCTATCTCATAGAGACTATATAGGGTTTCCGAGGAACCGCTAGTGAGTTTGAACCGCCAACACTGCGGTCCAAACTGACCTTGAGGTCAAGTGCTTATCCTATGATGCCACATCAGGACTCCCATTAAGGGTGAATTAAATGCAGTAGGCTAATTTTTAAGTTGATAATTTTGTATGGCCTGTGATGATGTTATAAATTTTGCCAGATAAAAGGTTCCCCAACCCTGCTCTAGATGTTTGAAAGGCTAGCTCAACTTTCTTCAAGTCTCTAAACAAATGTCATCTTAGCAATGAACTCCTCCTGACCACCTTACACAAAACAGCCCCCACTTCACCTCCAAGCACTGCATCTCCTTTAGTCTATTTTTCTCTTTAGCACCCATGGTCAACCAATAAGCTATTGATCGATTTTTTTGTTTTTATCAGTTTCCCTCATGAATGCTCCTAAAGAACAGAGCTTTCCTTTGTCCACAGCTATGTCTTCGGCAGGGCTCTCTTTACGTTGTCAGTCAGTATTCTGACTTCAATCACATACAGATGAAGCTTGGGAATACTGTGGGCTTGGTTCCAAGCACTGTTAGAGGGAATACCACAATAAAGTGAGACACATAATTTTGCTATTCAGTGCACAGAAGTTATACCACACTGCAGAGTTTCTTAAGTGTTCAATGGCATTATGAACAGTTTGAAATATTATGAGACTCACCAAAATGGGACACAGACACATGACGTGATTACATGTTGTTAGAAAAATGCGCCAACAGACTTCCTCAGCACAGGACCATTATAAACCTTCGTTTGTAAGAAGGGAAAAAAAAAAAGCAGTACCTGGACATACAATGCAGTGATGCGCGATACAATGAGATCTACCAGTACCTTGTGGCACTGTGGGTTATTATGGGTTAGACGCTGGGCTGCTAACCATAAGATCAGTGGTTCAAACCTACCAATCAATCCTTGAAGAAAGATGAGGCTACCTGCCCCTGTAAAAATTTTGTCTTGGAAGCCCTAGATAGTGTCTCTGAAAGTTGGAATCACTCAGTTGCTATGGTTTTATCTTAAAGTGAGGAGTCCTGATATGGTGCTGTCAGATAAGCACTGAACTGCTAACCACAAGGTTGGCAGTTCAAACCCACCAGCCACTCTTTGAAAACCCTACACAGGGTGGCTATGAGTCAAAGCCACTTCACAACATCTTAAGTACTCACTCGAGTACACACGATTCCAACTCCCGACCCCGGCCCTGCCCTTTAGGAAAGACGCCTCAGAAGGAAGCTCACTCAGTATACAGCAGCCTACCATTCACATGGCAAACTTGGGCACTGACTTGATCCACACCAGAGGGTGATGGTAGAACATCTGCCCCTCACCAGCCACATGCGGGATGAGAAAAAAAGCACTATAATTTGTCATGCTAACATCTGTGGTTTCCAACAAACAACTGCAGACACACTCTTAACAGCACACAGAGAGGCAGACTGAAATCAGATTCACTAGTGGCCACCGGTCTCCAACTCCCATGGCCATGAGATCATCCCACATATGGCTGGCAGGGCAGATGCTCTGTTTATAGTCTAGTGTTTTAGCTGAAAGGCTGTGTCCTCCCCAAAGGGAACATGTAAGTTGGGTTAGCCAGGTGCCATAAGGAAGAATACATGTGAGAGACAGAGTCAGTTACCACCAGCCAAGGGGGAAGGAGAAGGGAGTGGGAAAGAGTGAGAGACCCAATTCTTCACCTCTTTTTCAGGGATGTTCTGAAACCAACACCTTGAATTGGTTGCCCTAGATAGGAGGCGCAGAGGCCACATAGCAGAGCACCCCCCCCCCCCAATAACTCAAGAATAAAAAGACAAGTACAATAAAAAACGGGCAAAGGACTTCAACAGGCCCATCATATGTAAAGAACTGTCAAGTTCGTTCCTACTTATAGTGACCCTGTTAAACCTTTATGGGAGCAGAAAGCCTCATCTTTCTCCCAATAAAGTCTCTTACAATTTTCTAAATTACATAATGATATAATCATACACAGAAAGCTGAGAAAAAATGATATACATACCATAAGTTTTTGCCCTGGTTCAGGGCAGAAAATAACAAAATCAGCTTCAATGTTAAGATGGATGTGTCCTTGATCATCATAAATATCTCCCAGCTCACCCACTACTTTGATGTTGTCATATGCAATAGGGACACCTAAAAGACTAGTAAAAAAGAAAAACAGAATTTTACAATGACATATTTCACCCTCTTTTAAACAAGGACGTTACCATGTAGATTAGATATACGAGTCCAAAAAGTAAATATTTCCTAAATATAACCAACCATGTTGAAAATACAGTAACATGATTAGCCCATAACAGCTTTAGCAGCTCAAGTTTACCACAAGGTTCCAATATATTGACTAAGTTAAAAACGACTATTTAAACAAAAGGCCCAAGAATACATTAGCAGTAAGCTGATGCATCTTTCCTGTTTGCTACCCATTTAAGTTTTGGTCACGCTAGACTTCCAATGAATCTTGGCAAAAAGTAGAGAATACTAGATAGATGTTTCCCTGTGTTTTATTGACTGCAAAGACTGTGTGGATGACAACGGATTACAGAACACTGCAAAAAACAGGAATCCCAGAACACTTAATTGTGCTCATGCAAAATCTCTGCACAGACCAAAAGGCAATGGTTTTGAACAGAACAAGGGTTTAAAACCAAGAAAGGTGTGTTTCAGGATTGTAGACTTCTACTATATTTATTGAGCAGATGATAAAACCTTGATTGCTGAAAATGAAGAGGACTTACAGCACTTAATGATGAAAATCAAAGACTACAACCTTCAGCATAGAATACACTGCAACATAAAGAATACAAAATTCCTCACAAGTGGGGCAACAAACAACCACCATGATAAATGGAAAAATGATTGAAGTTTTCATGAATTTCATTTTACTTGAATCCACAATCAGCACCTAGGGAACCAGCAGTCAAGAAATTAAAGAATGCATTACTGCACTGGTCAAAAGTACTTCAAAAGACTTCTTAAAAGTGTTTGAAGGTAAAGGTGCCACTTTTTGAGGACAAGGTGCACCAGACCTAAACAATGGTATTTCTAATCGTCTCATATGCATGTGACACCTGGACAATGAGACTGAAGAATAAATGTCTTTAAATAATGATGTTGGTGAAAAATATTACCAAATATACCATGGACTGCCAGAAGAAAGAACAAATCTGCCTTGGAAGAAATACAGCTACAGTGCCTTTTGTCAGGGAGAATTCCAAGGATGTGTCATGTACTTTGGACATGTTACCACTAGGGATCAGTCCCTGAAAAAAGACATCATGTTTCATGATAAAGTAGAGGATAAACAACAAAAGACAAAAACCCTTGATGAGATGGAATGGCTCAGCAGTGGTGGCAAAGCTGGGCTCAAGCATAGCAACACTTGTGAGGATGGTGCAGGACTGGGCAGTGTTTCCCTCAGCTGGACATACAACCTGATGGCACCTAACACGCATGGCTAGATTGTAAACAAGACTTCAAGAACCCTGAGAAGAGAACATTTTGTTGAATTCAAATATCTAGAATGATTCATTAAACTTATAGAAAGACTTTAGAGCGAAACCCCAATTAATCAGTTATAGTCAGTTAAAATGTGTTGGTGTACCTGGAAGCGTTTCATTAATTAAAAAAAAATACATGAAGCAGTACATCGTCATCATGTGCCGCGGACTCTGCTCCCACTCTCAGTGATGCTATATAGGGTTTCTGAGGAGTGGCTGGTGGGTTTGAACTGCCAAACTTGCACTTAGCAGTCCAGTGTTGACGATACAGTGCCACACCAGGGCTCCATTTATAGGTACACTATACAGACTGCTTGTGTGGCACTGTACGATCAGCACTAGACTGCGAACCGCAAGGTTGATAGTTCAAACCCACCAGCTGCTCCTTGGAAACCCTGTATAGGGTTGCTATGAGTTGGAACTGACTCGACAGCACTTAATAACAACATACAGACAGACTGCTAACCACAGTGTCAGTGGTTCAAACCCAACAGCAACTCCTCAGAGGCCATATACAGGATTGCTACGAGTCCAAATCGATTAAACAGCACTTAACAACAACAAACATATATCTCAAGACAAACATCTGACTAATTAGCATTAGAAACCAACTGACCAGTGTACTGGTGTAGTGCTGTAGGATCTATACTATTAACCACAGAATAGCAGTTCAAACCCACCAATCACTCCTTGGAAACCCTACACGGGGTTGATGTGAGTCAGAACTGATTCAAATGCATTTAACAACCACCATAAACAACCGGACCTAACTGTTCCAGACTATGTAAAGGATTTGACTTAAATACAATTTAGGAATAGAAGAAACGCATTCATAATCCAGAGACTACCATTACTGTCAATAGCAATTGTCTTAATAAAACAGTCAACAACCACAGGGAAGTAACGAAGAACTACCAAAATTAAGAAAATCATAAACCAAAGACTTACTCAGGAAAGCACTCTTGAGTTACTAATTTCTGTATATGGCTTTCATAACCGTAAGCACACAAACAATAGAAAGCACAGAAGTGTGTGTGTGTGTGTGTGTGTGTGTGTGTGTGTGTGGCCGGGCAGAGAGGGGCAAAACTAGTAAGTGACATAAAAAATAAAAACCAAAAATCAAATGCACTTCCATTAAGTCGATTCTGGCTCACAGTGACCCTGTATAGTTTCCTAGGCTGTAAATCTTTCTAGGAGCAGAAAGCCTCATCTTTTCCCCATGGAGTAAGTTGTTGTTGTTGTTAGGTGCCATCGAGTTAGTACTGACTCATAGTGATCCTATGCACAACAGAATGAAACACTGCCCAATCCTGGGACAACCTCACAATTGTTACCATACTTGAGCCCATTGATGCTGCCTCTTGGCCAATCCATCTCGTTGGGAGTCTTCCTCTTTTCCTCTGACCCTCCACCTTACCAAACATTATATCCTGCTCCAGTAACTGGTCCCTCCTGACAATATGTCCGAAGTATGAGAGATGAAATTTGGCCCTCCTGGCCTCCAAGGAATACTGTGGCTGTACTTCTTCCAACACCAGTAACAAATTTTTTAAAGAAACTTTTACCTTCCTTCGATGATTGGTCCACATTTTGTTTGCATAAACTTGTGTTTATGCTCTTCCATGAGTTGTCTCAGTACCCATGCCACAGACTTTTTGAAACCCAAGTCTGTCATGAATTACTTCATAGGAGAGCCACGGCTGATTCACAAATGACTTGTCACATAATCCATCAAGTACTCATCAATCTATATGTCACTTGATTTGCAACCACTACGCTAATGGAATGTACATAATTTTTGACTCACCCCCGTATTTGCCATCAAATAAAACACTATCAAATAATTCAAGAGCTGTCATTATGGACCAGAGAGTTTTCTTGTTTTCATCTTTTCTGAATACCCCAGAAGCACAACTTAGAAGTTGTATGACTTTAGAAAACTACCTATTTACAACAATCTAAGGAGCTCTGGTAGCACAGTGGTTACGAATCGGGCTGCAAACTGCAAGGTCAGCAGTTCGAAACTACCAGCTGGTCCAAAGATGAGGCTTTCTGCTCCTGTAAAGATTTATAGCCTCAGAAACTCTGTACAGGGTTGCTATGAGTCGGAACCGACTCCATGGCACATAACCAACCAACCAAAGTCCTGGTTTGGTGCTGTAGGTTAATGCGTTGGACTGCAAAGCCAGTTTGATTTTCAAGGTTGGAGGTTCAAGCTCACCAGCCGCTCCTTGGAACCACTATGCAGGATCGTTAGGGTTAGAACGGACTTAACGGTTCTTAACAACCACAAACACAGTTAAAATTTGAAATGAGATACCTTTTAAGATTTTTTTTACCTTATAAAATATGTCACCGGGAAAAGGTAGGAAGTCTTGTCAAGCAAAGAATGCTGTTGACTTAAGCAGTAATCTGAAAGCCATTCTCAATTCCTCCCTTTTCCTCAGCCTCTACAGGATTGCCATAAAGTCTGGAAACAGGCAACTACATACACAAAAGAATTGATTTATTAATATTCTTTAAAATTTGGCTACAACTCAAAGTATGTGCAACATCTTGTCTCTTATCTGCATCAGTGTGACACCAATCACCAAGAATGAGATGCAATACTGGAGGATTTCTAACATACATCTGTTTTGTTACCTCACAAGATGTATATCAGATTTGTAAGGAACAAACCTGCACCTTTAGCACACCTAACAGTACTGGAGGAGTGATCCGTATTTGTTGGGAGTGCAGTCTGCTCCATGTGACTACACAGCTCAACTTCTCATTCACTTGCTCTGGTGTAGTGGCATCTATTGGTGCCACTCAGGAACTTCACCTGAGCTTATCAAATAGAAGCCTTAATTGGTTACGAATCATAGCAAAATACATTGCACAGTTGCCTGGTTCTAGATATTATGTGTGTCACCTAGTCTATCCTTAAATTTCTCAAATCTATACCCTTCAATCATTTTTCTCTGAAAAGACTATAACCTCTTAATTGGTCTCCATGTCTACTATCTAAACCTTCTTCAACCATCATTTAATGCTACCAAGTATGGTTGCTAAAACTGCAGATTCTATGCAGTTCCATACTACTATTCTCTCAAGTATCCGCTAACTGTCAGAGCTTGATGAATTACTAAATCTGCTTACCCACATTAAAACAACTCCCTTCACCTTGTCCCACTGAAAAATAAAAACACAAAAAACCCCACTAGGTAGAGACAGGAAGGGAGCAGCAAACCTGGCCATCTCCTCTGAGACCTCCATCACTGACCTCTAACTGCACCCTAATGCCTTTCCCCTAATATAAAAATCTTATTCCAGTTATTTAGTATTTACAGTTTTGGTGTCATAGCATACATACTATTTTACACTCTGTCCATTTTGGGGAGTCCTGGTATAGCACTGTAGAATAAGCACTGGGCTGCTAAACGCAAGGTCAGAGGTTCAAATCCACCAGCTGCTCCTCGGAAACCCTACATGGGGTCGCTAGAAATCTGAACTGACTGGGTGGCACTTAACAGCAACAACATCCATTTTTGAGGCCACACTCCACTCAGAATACTACCATCTAAAAGTGTCCTCCTATGTCAAGTAACTCTCACGCTTCCCAAGATCCAATTTACACTTTCTTTATCATTTAATATTAATGTATGTCAAAGTTGAACACTTCACTAGAATTCATTTTCCTCGAAGAGATCTTAAAAACGCATACGAACAAAAAGCATGCTTTTCATTTATTTATTTTTCTTATACCAAATCCCCAGCATAAACGGGACAAATGTTTGCTGGTGTTTGCAGGAAGC